CAAACGCTTAGCACAGGCACGAGCTGAACTTTCGACCATGGTCCCAGCGTGGTACGACGTCCTCGTAAGCAAAATCCAACCAGTTGCGAGCAAAATATTACCCTCGTGTGCGCTAGCTCACAAACAAGAAACATTCATGACGAACATCGTCAATGCGAGCTCGCGACCGTGAGTCCAAACAAAGGTTCACTTCACGCAAAGTCCCTCGCCCCTCATCGACACACGGGCTGACTTTAAGTTATTACTCCTTTTCCTAGGAGCAACAACTTGGGAGACTTCTGTTCTGGACTGGGCCGAAGGCTGACCCACCATCGGGCACGGCCCAATCCAACTCTACGTCGGGGACGACCCAAAGCATTGGTCCAATCCTTTGGGGACAATAGATAACGTGTTTCCCCATGTGGTCCTCACCTGAGGACACGTCACCAACTGCATCTGCAAGTTACACATGACTAAAGGAACCATTATGCCCTTTGTAACGGGCACGGTCAATCCACTATCTGTGAAGTACGGAGCGGGTTGACCTAGGACGATGAGTACATGCTGCTCATGTAACACCTTTCTAAAAAAAACCATGAATATCATATTTAATAAATCAGAGTAATGCACCAAAAGAGTATCACATGATTCATAAAAACATCATACATGCATATCTTACTCCGTAACTCGGGCATTTTTAACATTTATAATCATTTACTACGCATCAACACTCACACTTTTACATCATTAAATCATTCACATCAACATCATGTAATCAAATCACAATTCCCATCGAAGCATCATTTATTCACATATCATTAAACATCTCTTATTCAATCGTTATGCAATATCATAAATTATGCAATGCAACATTAGTTACTCATGCATGTGGTATCAAAACTTCACTGATGACTTAATCATTGATTCTCCAAAGATCTTCACCAATAGGATTGATTTCCGCTTGGAATCAGAAAACTTCACAATATTGCACTCAATCCACACTATGGAATTGAGGCCATCATTGGACCAACGTACTATCAACATCACTGGATTATTCGTCCTAACAACATCACTGGAGCAATGTCCTAACATATACCATGAATGCATGATGTGCAACAACACAATAAAACATGACCACTACTAATCAAAACGCATCATCATCCATGAATTCATCACAATATCACCACATACGTCATAATATATACATCATAATCACAACAACATCACTTCATCATAGAAAGCATACATCTAATTACCTCAAAACAGAATCACATCAATTCCTTATAGGAGGCACACATCATATTACATCAACTGATAGTTACATCACCTCATCATGGCTCAATAACTAAAAGAATACATATTATGAACCATTTCATTCTACAGGGGTATATTTCATGGCTCAAATTATGACTTTTCAAAGTTTTTAGACACTCTCGTCTGGGGCTCGTCTGGAGAAGCAATTGGCTCGCCTGGCGAGGATGGGGAGAACCATGTTCCCCATACAAATTCTAGGAGCTCATGTTTTTCCTCCTTTCATTTGCCCGGCGAATGCTTGCTTCGCCCGACGAGCTCGCACCCACCTCTGTTTCGTCCGGTGAAGCAGGAGCGTATCACCCCTTTCATACAAATTTTTAGAGACCCTGCCAAAACTCACCTCTCACTCTCACCTCACTCTCACTTGACGAGGTCTGAGCGAAAGATGTTTCGCCCGGCGACTGGGTGGCTCGCCCGACGAGTCTGCGCGAGCATGGTTTTTTCTGTTATAATTTCCTGCATAAATACCAGTCCCAATTCTTGCGATCCTAACACAGAGCAACTTTCAATTCATCACAAATACTCATGTTTTCATCATATAATATCAACACATATTATTATACATCATATGCATTAACTCATGGGAAAACAACATCACATATGCATCACTTTTCAACAAAATCATCATGTTTTCATCATAATCAAATTTCCAAAAACAAACCTACTAATACCTAAACCTTCTATCAAATATAATAATTATGATAAATTCCCTTACCTTAGATTTCTTGTAGTAAATCTTAGTTCTTTTCCTCGCGTTCTATCGAGCTCTACCTCTTGCCTCTCTGTGCCCTAACTTCTCTTTAATATTTCTTCCAAATTCTCACGATTGCACAAAATGAGACACTGACACTCTTTTTCCTAATTTAACCCTTGGATCCTTTCTATGGTCTTCCCATCTTACCCTCGCTTATCCATTCACAAACTACCACTTTGTCCTCAACATCTATACATCATATTTTATCTCTATTTACATAAATAAAATAAGTCTAATTAATTACTTTAATTATCTAAATAATGATTCTACTTAATTTCTCAAATATTATATTATTCTAATTATCACCTTAATTCATACTACCCCATCACACACCACACGATAACATCACATCAGACATCATGATCATCAAGATGTCACATATACCCACAAAGACTTCACATAAAATCACAATAATTCATATAATTACACTAACCAATTGAATAACTAATTAAATAATTAATCTAGATTTTTGGGGTGTTACAGTTCATCCTTACTTTCACGTAGGAATCCTGGCAGTCATACATTAGAGGCCTGAATACTCAGCCCATAATAAAGACGATTGACGCAGTGTTGAAGGCTCTATAAAAATCCTCTTTGCAGAGGGTCGGGTATTCTATTCTTAACCTATTTTCACTACCTCTCACACAAACTAACTTTGACATCAGAATGTCTACAGGTACACCCCCTCCTCTATTGATTTCTCAGAGCTACAAACACGCCGCCAACCACATTCACACTTTCTGATCACTGGTAAAATCAGCTACAATATGTCATTGTCATATGTTCTCTTAGAAATTGAATTGCTTCATTCATTTCATGGTGTTGCATGTCCTCATCACCAGCACTATAAAAAATTCTTCTATTAGAAGAATCAAAGGAGAGGAGACATTTTGATTGCTACCACAAGACCTAACTTAACACTTCAACACAAACTCATTTAATCATACTGTAAATTGTTGTTCATGATTAAAATATTTATCAACATCAAGTTCAAGAACAGCTGCACATGTGCATTCAAGCCAACATCTAATTCCTCATAATAGATTTGATTGGCGTCGGAGACACCATACTTGCAGCCATTAAGCATATTAGAATCTGGTCAGACTAGCATGCTGGACTTAGGGATGGCCCTCTTTCATTTTGCTTTTAAAAAAATACTAATAAAACACTTAAAAAATTATCATCCGTTTTAATGTGTTTATAAAAAAAAATATATGTAAAATTAATATAAAAATAAATTTAACTAAAACTTTTAAAATTTATTAATTACTAATTTGATTTAAAAGGATAAAAGTCGATTGTATTGATATCATAACAAAAAAGTAGAATCGGAAATAAATAATTATAAGAACTTGATGCACAAAGCTAGTAATAAATGTGACTAAGAACTTGATGCACAAAGCTAGTAATAAATGTGACTAAGAACTTGATGCATGTTTGATTCTATTATAATGACTAAGAACCAGATAAGTTGCACAAAATAAACCCATCAAACAAGGGAGTTGGTACATCAAAAGTGTTTGTTTCTCCACAGTCTTCTGACCTGACCATCCATCCATATCAGCTGAACTTGACTACCCACTAAAACTCTGTACAAAATGCAAAAATGAGAAAAGAATGAGGGATTGATTGCTCGGGACTTCAACAGAAATCACATACCCCAATCATCATTCTTCTCCCCCCATATTATATCATTCATTCACACCATAAACAAAAGCCAAGAATGATTTGCCGCTTGGCGGATATATTGCCAAGAATGTTCGCTGATAACCAAGGTAAGGTATTCATTCACCAAATATATATCACTAGGATACAAAACCAACCTCAGCATCTATCTTCCCCATGCAGGGGAGAAGTCTACTGAATAGCTAGACGTCTCTGTGATGCCTCGTTCGAGGAGATGCTTCCACGAAGTTGCCCTGAACAGTCCCCTTCATCCACTCTTTCACCTTGATATCTTGAAGATTGCATACCATTGTTGTTATTATGGTAGGAGACACCGCCGTTTTCATTTGTTACTCTTGCATCTTGTTGCATGTTGGGAGAATTCCAGGTTTCGGCAGAGTCTGAAGGTAAGGGTTCTGAACCAGATGAACTAATTGACTGTGATGACAGGACTGGACCAGAGCCATTATCCTTTCCTGAGTTGTTTGAGCCTTCACCATCAGTTTTCTTTGCAAATCGTCCTCCTGTGCCTCTTGCCCTTCTCATAGCATGCTGATGTCTAGATTCATGAAGATATGGCTGAAAATAACAGATGTCAGCATAACCCTAGTTACTAGTAGAACCATGTTCTGTGTTATTTGAAACATTATCTTAACAAATGCAAGTAACATCAAAAACTGGTGAAAATAAGCAACTTAGCTTTATTTTCCTTTATCATTCTATATGAAGCTGACTATATAATGGCGGAATTGGAGTAGAATCCGCCAAACGTTTATGTAGTAAAATCATTTTAGAAGCCTAGTTTAAAATACCAGGTTTATTGACATTTGCACACCAATATAATTTCCACTACCTGCATCTGAGTCCTTATTTTTCTACAGCCTAATTCTTGCAGACAAGAATAAAATCCTAACTTCCTTGAGCCTCCTCCAACAGCAGATCCTTCTAAAAAATAAATTAGATGTTGTTGCTTGTTTGAGAAGTGGGTGATTGCTGTTCATGAAGGTATTGATTTAATCCTAATGGAATAGAGAAAACTGACGAACTTTTGCCGTTGACAATTCAGCACAATAATGGATATAACAGACATCATTTTTTGTTTCTCTTCATAGACAGCAGCGCATAGATTACACACAAAGACTTCTTAATGCATGCACACTGATATATTTTTAAAAAAAAATAACCGGACTAAAGACTAAGCAACCATCAGATGGCATCGTGTAAAAGGTGGGGAGAAGTCTACTTCCATATAAAAAGATAAACATCTCAATGGAAAGAAACATATAATAAAGAAGTATTAGAGTTTGCCTCTTGCGAATTTGTACCTTTCTAGATTTTATGAGCTTCCTTTCAAGCTCTGCTTTAGCACGAGCTTGTCTCCGCCTCAGAATTCCTTGGTATTGTTTGGCATTCACATAAACAGGTTCCTGAGCCATCTCGAGGGGCAAAGGCATTCTGGGATGAGGCATTCCCATAAAAGGATGATATGCCTAATAGTAAAAAAAAATGGTCCATTATCACGTTATTATCCTAACATTGAAATTGCTTTAATCAAGACAGTAGAACAACACGGTAAGAACCTTTAATCAAGTAACATATTAATGTCACGTACCAACTGCTGGTGACCATAAGCGGCCATCATGCCCCCGTAATATGGATCCTGATAAGGATTTGTAGCACATGCCTGCATCAAAAGAATTGGAAGAATACTAGGAGTCTCATCCAGTCCAAATGAATGCAACTACAAGTTCTATAATAACATATTTTCCTTAAAAATGATATGCACAAATCAGTAAAGATTTGTGCTCCAGAACAAAGTTACTGCTTTTGATATTTGCACAAAATGTTTATCTTAACAAATTGATAGCAAGTTGTCAAAAAAAGCAATAAAGCATAGGCAAAGACTTACAATTGAATGACCAACAAGCTCCATCGGAGGAGTTTGTGTGAGGCCTTCTTCATGAACGATAAGCGCAGATGATGCAGTGTGCTGCATTCCTTGTTGTTCTTGCCCATAATTTCCTACCAAGAAAATAAAATACAGTATTTCAGTACCTCTAAGTCATTATTTGGTGGAATGGAAATTTTTCATCGATTTCAGTTTTAAAGTGTCAATCAGTTTATTTTCCCGTATATAATTGTTTACAAATTATATTCTAAAGAACCTGATTGATTAGGAGCAGCAGCAGGCTGCGAATCCTTAGCAGCATCATCCTCTTCCTCATTCATTCCACTATTGGACATAGATTGCCCTTCCTCATTGGATTCTGAATCACCATTGCGGCAGTCAAGAGAGGATGAATTGGCACCAGACATTGTTTGCCCTACAGGATTGTATCCAACACCACGCCACCAAGGTTCAGCGTAAACACCACCAACACCACCGGCCGGTAAGGAATGAGGATCCGACCTAACTTGATTTGCAGTTTCAGACTTGGGTTGCATATCCTCAGATCCCTACAAAAAATTACAACTACAGATCATCTACAAACCTTATTCCTTGTGTTAAAAGAAAATTAACTGATCACACTCACAAAGGGTATATACTTTTTCTAAAAACCAACCAATCTACATTCAAAGGTGAAATTCATTATGATAACAGTAAAAAGAAACAAACAAATATTCTAATCCAACCAAAAATTACAAAATACATTCAAGTCGACACAAAACACCTCTCAACTACTAGCTACAGCTATAGATATACATACACAAGAGAAACAAAAACTGTAACACTATGCTACAAATACCATATCCATAAACCACTACCTATGAAGCTCTATTTAACAGAATCTCAACAAATTCTTACTCAAATACCCAATTCAACCCCTTTACCCACATTCAAAATCAGCCTTAGCTCATAGAAAAATCCCCTCCCCCTATTTCATAAAAAAAAAAAAAAAACAATCTTTTCCTGATTTCAAACAAGAATCCCCATGCAGTCACAGAATTGTTCAACCCAGACTCAGAAAATCAAAAAGAACCCAAAATTCTGCACGAAAAACAACAAACCTAAAAACCCTAATCCTTAACAAGCCTCGGAAGGAAACGAATCACGCCATAAAAAAATCCACCAAATTGATCAAGAGAAAAATGGAAGCTAAATCGAAGCATGCACTAACCTGAGGACGAACAAAAAAAAACCCTAGATTGTGAGTCTTTTGATTGTGATTGAAAATTCAAAGAGGCTAATCCGATTCCTCTCCCTCTCTCTCTCTTTTTCACACGCACACAGAAACACACTTCTCTGAATTTAGCATCAGAAATTAATAACGCCACCAATAATAATAGAGAAAATTAAAATTTTAAAATTAAAATAAATATTAAATCAATTAAAAAACATTTCTAACGATCACTTAAAGTCTTGGTCTTTGTATTCTGAGTAAAGTGTACAATATTTATTACTAACTTTTCTTTTGTCAAATAAGTTTTTTTTTAAATAATTTAGTGATTTAATGAGAATATGCGTTTTAACGTATATCATCAGCTTAACTACTAATTGAATTGATATAATAAAATATTTCTTAAATAGTTTAATGATAAAAAAATTTATCTTAAAAAATGAATAGATGAGATATTAGAGATTCAAAACAACGTCTTTGAATCATATAAAATGTTTCTACACAACTATCAAATAAACGTGGTAAAATATTATATCTTTCATTTGCTACAACTAAGGTAATGATGACGTCATCTTCTTGTGGGTCCAACAATTTTAAGCCTGGGACACGTGTACTCGAGGTGTGTGAGTGAAGAATGGTGGTGAGGTTATCATGGTCTTTTTAATACTAGGAACCAAACAAAAGAAAAATTTGTGACCCACGTGACACGCATTTGACTAGTTGAAATTTGACGCAACACGTGGCTTTTATGTGGGGTCCATGTCAGAATAACGTCGACAGCAACTCTATCCACGTATCCTCCGTTTTGCCTTTTTATTTGACTATATATGACGGGATTTTGAAAAAATTATTAAATAGTTGAATTGTTGTAAAGAGATATTAAAAATTGAGTGTTGAAAATAAAGTGGATTAATTATTATTTAAAATATTTAACATGTTAAATAAAGAAGAAATCTGATTATATAAAATATTTTATAAAATTTTATTTATTGTTGTAAATATTTAAATTTTTATTTCATCTTAATTATTTGGATTTAATTATTTTATAATAAATTATTTTTATTTTTACTTTTATTTTCATTAAAATCTATTTATTTTATTTATAAATAAATATTTAATTTATTTAATTTAAACAAAAAGATATAAAAGAAAATATGAATATGAAATTAATATAGCGAGATAAGGTGTTGAATTTTATTAAATAAATTTTTTATAATAAATAAAAATTAAATACATATTAAATTATTAGGTGGAAGAGAAAATATAATATAAAATATAGGAATTGAAAATGAAAAGTGTTAAATATATAAAGTGTTGTATATAGTCTTATAAAAGTCTTTATTTTTTTGTATTAATTATGATTATGATGTTATGATTTATAAAAGTCTTTATTTTATTTTTTGTGTATTAATTATGATTATGATGTTATGATTTATTATTAGTATTATAGTAACTTGTAATTGAAGATTAACTTTAGTAGAGGGATTTTTTTGTTACAATTTTAGTAGAGAGATTTGTTTTACGGTGAGTATTTATTTTTTAATTGAGTTTTAATTCGTTACTAATTTATTTGATAATTTTAATTTTGTATCACTTAAAATTATTGATGTGATTTAATTTAAATTTTTGAAAAAGTTTAATATTTTGAATTTTAATATATTAAGTACTCATATATCTATAAAAGTATATTATTTAAAAAATTTAATGAGTTCTTTTAAAATATTTATTAACATTTTCTTCATTTTATTATTATTGGTTGTATTTTTTTTTTCTTTTTGTGAATAATGTCTATACGTATTATTACCAAAATTAAACTTGAAAACTTGAACAAAGTTGTATTACTAAGTATTTTGTCATTTGTATACTACTTTATTAAAAATTGTTTATATTTTATTTTATAATATTAATTTTAAGATTTGATTATATATATTTTTATAAATTTAAATATGTATAAAATTAAATTATATGTGACTAAAATTCTAAAATAAGAATTAACTTTAATAAATTTAATATATTTTTATTCAAAAATTAAAATAGAAGAGTAAAAGTACACAAAAATCTAATATTTCTTTTATATATAAGTTTATGCTATTACCATTAAAATGGAGATGGAAAATTAGCATAGACCAAAACTTTTCATTAAAATTAGAGAGACTAAGAATAAATTTTGAAATATATACTAATAACTTATTTAATCTTATTAAAGATGTGTTAATAATTTAAATTTTCAACTTTATTATAAAATAAAAATATCTCAAATTACCGTCATATAATGTCATGTTTGTAAAGTTATGTAAAATTATATTATCTCATCCAGTAATAAATTATCGATAAAAAAAACATCTTAAAAAGTTACAACTTTATAAATTTTGAAATTGTTAAAAATCTAAACTAAAACAAAAGATTAAGATGTAAGAATAACAACTTCAAAGAACTTCATATATTACTATTAGAATTATATAAATCTCTCACTCACAAAAGATCTTCTCACATAAGCATTTGGTTATACGAATTAGTAAGAGAAAGTTATAAAAAAAAACTTAGAGAGATAAAGTGTGTGTGTCAATACATATTTCGCTTTCTGAATAGTTTCTGTTACCAATCGATTAGTTCAATCGATTAAATCATTTAAAAGTAACGACTATGATTTCCAAAAAAAGTAAGAAGAGATATGTAATTGTTGCTAATCGTTTGAGTACATTTAAATTGTCTTTATCCTCAAAAGTGTGTCAATTTAACTGATTGACACTTTGTGTTAATCGATTAAATTCAGTTAAAAATAGTTTTCTGGTTTTTTTAATGTTCTGATACTTTCTAGACAACTTCTATATATCTCTTCAAAGCATTTTCTTTTTAGAAACATTTTATAAAAAGGTTTTACGTATGTGTGTGCGCTTATAGTCAACTACCTATATATAGAAAGAACTTTTACGTTTATAAAAGTTTCATTCACTTACTAAATAGGGTTAATTTCCTTAAGCATGTGTCTTGATGTATTCATTGAGTTGACGTCTTGCTTGAGATCTTCTTTTGAGAATTGTGATGTATTCTTTTTTCCTTTGTTTGAAGAAGCTTTGTTCTGAAATTTTGTCATTCCTTCAACTGAGACTTTGCCAATCTTCTGAAACTTTATCAGTCCTTCAACCGAGTCTTTGTCAATCTTCTATCAAACCTAAGGCTTGTATCTTTGACTGCTTGAGTTTATTGATTGACTTTCTAAATGACTGCATCTTTTATTATGCTAAATGTCATCTTATTTGTTCTGTTACATTTGTCATCATATTTATCATGTCATGAATATATGTTCTTGGTCTTTGTAGTTGTCATCATCAAAATAATTGAAATTCTGGCAGCAGATACTTAATGTCACAGTGAATGTTATGACACCGTATCTGACACTCTTCAAGACAGTAAATCTAAAAGCAGTAAAGAACACAGTCAATTGTTTACCCAGTTCAGTGTGTAACAACACCTACTCTGGGGGCTACCAAGCCAGGGAAGAAATTCACTATAAGAGATATTAATTCAGCAATAAACCAACCAGTTTATCTCCTTCACTTAAGACCTACCCAGTGCAACTTCAATCTAAGTTCAACTTAAACCTGAGTTCCTACTCACTCCCCCTCAATCACAGCAGTGATACTAAACAATTGACTAATGAAATTATGAAGACACTCTTCAGAACATACACTTGATTTTGCTTCACAACTTTTAATCAAGTAACACAAACACTCGTGCTTCAAAGCTTTGAGTGATACACAACCCTAACTTGACTTTGCTTCAAAGCTTTAATCAAGTGACACAAACACTCGTGCTTCAAAGCTTTAAGTGATACACAACCCTAACTTGACTTTGCTTCAAAGCTTTAATCAAGTGACACAAACACTCGTGCTTCAAAGCTTTGAGTGATACACAGCCCTTACAATCAAATCCTACTCCAAGTCACTTATCACAATGATAATTATTTGGATTACAGTAGTTACAACGATACAGTCCCTTATTGATCTTCTGTCAAAAGTATCTTTCACCAACAGTCTTTATGAGGAATATATAGGCAGCTATTCTTCAGTTAGGGCTTCCACGAAAATAGCTAGGGTTAATTAGGGTTAACCTCAAGACTTGGTCATAGGACTTTAACAACCAGATTAGGGTTAAGCAAAGTTAACCTAAGTCCACGTGAGAATCTGATCTGGACTGAATAAACCAGATTCCTGAAAATTCTCAGAAATAATAAATCTGCACAAATGTTAGTTCAGTACAGGATGTCTTAACATTGGTTATGACAACAAGAATCATGTTTACTGATTTTGGTAGAATGCAATAAAT